GTTGCTGCCTTTTGCAATGTGGCAGTGAAATCTGTGGTTCTCTAGCTCGCATATACAATTCAGTTCAGTGTGAAGGGGCTTTTTAGCTTGACACAGTTGTATACCACTGATTAAGATAACCTCTCTGCCTTGGAGGGAGTTGTCCTTCAGCTCAGAAGAAATTATTTTTCTGTATATCTCAAACAGTTCTACATATCGCCAACTGAACTTTTCTATTAAAAACATTTCATTTTTATCTTCTTTATTTTTTTGTTTCTGGATTATATTCAAGTAATTACTCCAGTATTCATGTTCAACTTTTATTTCCCAATTGATTTCTTTGGAAACTTTTTAAGTTATATAGACTATAAAATAAATACTATACTTGCTAATGATGATTTTTTTTTTTTATTAGTTGGAGGCTAAGCTAATGATGATTTTTAAAGCATGAGGACATTTTAGCTATTATACTAAAACAATTCTTGCCTTTCCTCTTAGTAGGATTCTGTGAAAAGTTAGAAGAAAAACTTGCCCATGTTTAAGAGAATATTAAATTCATCTTCAGAGTAAAGCTGCTAAAGTTAGCTTTTGGTCTCCATATGTTTTAAAGAAGTATAACATACATACAACTCAGTGAGTTATCACAAAGTGAACACTCCTCTGTAACCAGCAACCACTGAAGAAGGATAGTGTTATCTGCATCCCTGGGAGCCCTCCTACTGATTCCTAACCACTGCCCCTTTCCTGTTTCCCAAAGTTAATCACTCTCCCATCTAGATACCGTGGATTAGTTTTGTATAAATTAAATCAGTCAGAATTTACTGTTTTGTCCCTGGGTGTTTTTTCCCCACAGCATTGCGTGTGTGTAATTCCTCCATGTTTTGCATAGCACCACTTCTTTCCTGGCTGCATAGTATTGCACTGTGTGACCATACCATGGAGTGTGTAACCATTTTTCATATTGATGGAAATTTGAATTTGTGCTATGATTGATGCACATACACATGCATTTCTGTTGAACATATACTTAGATGTGAATTGTTAGATCATGGGTTCAATTTTAGTAGATAATCAAGTTTCCCAAAGTTGCTATACCAATTTGCTTATTACCAGATGTGTATGAGAGCTGTGGTTGATAACATTTCTTTTCCAAAACTTGATATTATCACTGTGTTTAATTTCAGCCATTCTGGTGAGTTTGTAGAGAGACATTGCAATGAGCTTTCAATTTGCTTTTCCTGATTATTAGTGAGTTAAGCACTTTTTGATATGTATGTTGACTGTTTAGAAACCCACTTACATAGAGTGCTTTTTCAAGTCTGTTATCTATCAAGTTGTCTGTTTTTCATATTTATTTGTAGATATACTAGACACTAACCCATTGTTGATTATAGATTATTGTTTCATACTTTGTGGCTTGCTTTCTGTCTTAAGGCATTTTTTGAGGAAAAGAAATTTTTAATTTTAATATGATCTTATTTCTCTGAGGTATTTCTCAATCTTTTCCTTCATGGCTCCTACTTTCTGTGCCCTACTTAAGAAATAATTACAATCTTCTGTCATGAATATTTCCCAGTGTTATAGTTGGAAAATTTCATTGTATTACTCAGTCTTCCTTGATTATATACTCTATCAATAAAAATTTAGGTGTATGCCCCCTTCTATATACATGTAATTTATTTATATGGATCATATGTGTATGATATACTCACTTTTACATAAAACAGGAACAAAAAAAGGAAAATAAAATAATTAGGTAAGTACAAAAGGAGTTGTGTCCTTTTTTCCACATTCTAGTATTATGATACAGCCAGTATTATGCATTTTCTGATTATACACACTATATTTTATGTCAGCCTCTTTAGAACCAAATAGTATTATCAAGTAAATTATTTAAACTGTTGAATAGGGAACTTAACCTGTTGATAGTCCAATCATAAAACTTTATTTAGGAATTTTTAATTGGTAATAATTTGAGAAAACATGTTTTCTATAAGGCTATGTGCCTTATAGAGAAAATTTATTTCCTCAATTTTCACACACCGTAATTTAGGAAATACCACAGTCTCAAATTAGTTAGGCATGTGACAGACTCAGCAAATACTTGATTTTTTTTCCAAAATATAGATTTAATTATTTTATTTCCCTGCTTTGAGTTCTCAAATTTAATAGACATCTCCTTACATTAAATATTTGTCTAAAGGTTTTCTTATTTTTATAAGATTTGCTCAGATAGAAACTAATCACAAAAAGTTAAAGAATACAAATTGCACAGATTTCCTTCTTTTCTATTTAATAACTTAAAAAATTTTTTTAAATTGTTCTATTTTTCAGTATGTAAGTTTGTGGTTTAAGATGGCTTTAGTCACTAAGCCAAATAAATATCCTCCAACTCTCTCTGTTTGGAAAGCTTCTTATATGTGGCATTGGCAGTCCCCATATTAGACTGTTTAAATGGTGTTTTAGAATTAGATCACATATTTTTTTCTGCAAGAATTGACATTTTAAAAGAAAAGAAACACAGCTCTAAACACTCAGATTTGCCTGTTTATTCGACCTTCTAATCTATACATATCTTGACAAGTTAATTTGAAATCTTTACCTCCCTCCCTGCCCCCAGCAAAAAATAGAAAATAAAGGGCTATTTCTGGCTCTTAAATTATTATCCTTTTAGTGTTAGAATATTCCTCTGTATCAAAAATAAAGTCTTATGAACTTTTTTCTTTAACCTGTATGTGAACGTAAGGTCCCAAGAAAAACAATTTGAAGAACACCTTATTATTAATTAGGTTTCAAAACAATCAAAAATGAGATAGGTTTCCTGGAATTATTTAAGCATCTGGTTTCCTAATAACCTCTACTAGGTAGCCATTAGTTTTTGTTTGTTTGTTTTAATTGGAGAATAATTGCTTTACATCATTGTGATGGTTTTTGCCATATTAGCCATTAATTTTTAAAAGTGGTTACACAGTTATCAGAAAAATTGAATTCTGAGGAGGTGCAACTTTAATGCACTTGAGCCGGAGTAAAAAGTTTTAAGTTTGGATGTAAAGAGTGGAACACAAAGGCAAAAGTTTGATATGGTTAAAATTTATTGTACCAAAGGCAACTTCTAGAGTATAATACATTTTGTTAATATGCATGCATAATCTGAAAGTTGGTAAATTGTGTATGTTAGTGTCATAATATCAGTAGTAGTTATTATGATAGTGAGCTTACTAATGGCAAAATAGGTAAGAAATTAGGAATTACTGAAGTAAAATGAAATCTGTTGGAAAAGCATTGTAAGTATCTCAAAAATGTAAAAGACAGATTGGAAACATGAATTTCAAACTGTACTGCAATGCATCTAACCATTTCTAGACCATGTAATCTTTTTAACTCCAAAGAGGGGTGGGTGCTCATGAACGGCCACTGTAGGAGATCCCCTGTAATAACTGATGAAGACTTTCTTATCACTGAGAGATTGCTTTTGATAAAAAAAAGATTGTTTTTTCTTCCTTCAGATTGTTCCAAACCAGTATATTTTGGGGTACTGAAATCTGCCAGGTATAAACTGTTCTGTCTTTGAATTCACCTGCACTACTTTTCACCAGAATTTCATGCTTTTTGTATTGCTTTTCTTCAATGAATAAAGGATCAAAACCTGAGTATTTACCCCTATGCTCTGTGCTCACATCAGATTATTCATTAAACAGTTATACCTTTGTGACCTTGAATTCTCCATAAATAAAAATTTAGAGTGCATAAATTGACTTCCATGTAGCTTTGGGGCAACACTGAAAGTTTCAGTTCTGATATAGATGAACTGCAAGGCAACCCTGTGAGGAATAGTTAGGAAGGGAAACTGGATGACAAAGAATGGAGATTTTTTACAACTAAGACTTGGGAAAGGTTAAGAGAAAATAAGTCGGACCAGGTGTGCCTGATCCTAGATAGGCATCAGGATAGCCTTCTGCAGCTTTCTTTTTGTTGATGTTAATTTTGTTTTTCTTAATACATCTGCCCTGGCCTCAAGATTCACAGCATCTTTGGGAGTGGCTCTGAGGACAGAAAAATTGTATTACAATTTTTGGTTCTGTTAGAGTCAAAGTTGAGAACTGTTGTAGCATGGCTATGCAGGTCATCTTATTTTTTTTTTTACTTTGCCACCAATCTTTTAAGACAACACTAAAACAAAATCTAAAAAGTAATATAGTACCCATTAATACAATTTTATGTTGTGGTAAATTTCAGTAATACTATCTTTACCAATTTTTATTGTTTGTAGTGAAGGAATATTAGACTAGTTAGTTCGTTATCTTCTTCCTTTAAAGTCAAAATTCTTACCATGTTATTCTGTTTATCTTAGTATATTCAGGACTTGTGTGTTTGGGGCTGTGTCAAATATATGAGTGATTACAGGTCCTTACTTTTTATTGAAAAATTCTTTACTTTTTGTTTTATGACAACGAGTAGGTTCCCAAACATTATTCCAGAGATTACTATGCCCTAGCGTTCATCTGTCAGACATCTGGGTAGATCAGATGACCTGGCCATGGTAAACTGCTGAGTCTCATATTCTAGTGTTCATTTGTCTTAACGTCAGGTTTTAAATCTAAACATATTTGTCTGATGTAGGATTTTGAAGTTACCATGATATAGATAAAAAGTAACTTTTATTTGTAATGGTAATAAACTGTTAAAGTATTAGTAAATAAAGAATTGAGAATGTGAAGTTGACTAGAGAATTTTGAAATGAGGAAAGATGGTTGAGGTCAGTTTATGCCCTCTCCCCAACCCCACCATGGCCCTCCTTCTCCACTGCATAAAATTTGAATTCTAAAAGATTAAAAGATATTCCAATGTGGCTGAGATGGTCTGTGGATTTACATCAAGTAAACTATATTATTTTGTGATTTTTAAAAAATAGTTTTTCTCTTTCTATACTTAATTAAAATCTTAAAGTGTTTAATACAGTGCAGATTTTAAGCTGCCTTTAGATGACTTGTGCTTCCTATTATATTTTTGTTTCTTTGCAGTTTCTGGGCTTGAGACCAGTTCCACATCTGATTTTATGAACCAGCAATGAGACAATGGCAGTAAAGTTTAAATCAACATATTGATTCAATTAATTGTGTTTCACATAAGTCACTTAACAGTCATATTTGTTATTCAGTGGTATGTTTGTCATAAAGTTAATATGTTTCAACAGTTTTTAAGGATTGTATTATTGCTATTTTTTCAAATTTGATTTTATGAATAGTGATACTATATATTACCCCAAACTTCCCTAAGCAATTGTAGTTGATCCTTTTTACTCATGCCTTCTTTTCGTGGGGGGAGCATAATTTTTACTTTCAGACATCTAGTTTTCATTATCTTGCAGCTTATTGATAATTATTCAGTTGTTGAAATAATTGAAAAAAAAAAAGCATTTTATCTTTTAGTTTGTAAGGAATCCTTTGAACTTGAAGCAGAAACTGTCTTTTTGAAATTCACTACATGGATTAGGTTTTCTTAATTAAGCACTGAGTGTCATAATAGTAAATTTTTACCCTTCAGGTATAAAAATGACTGATTTCCCATTTGTAGACAATTTATATTGAATTGAAATGCTGTGAAGTTTTAAATTCTGTGTGAATCTCAGAAAATTAGCTCTTCTATTATACAAGTGAGCAGGTAAGGTTTTTGTGTATAATTTTATTCACCAGATGGAAGTAGTCTCGTTGAAAAAATTTAAAAAGCAGTCCTGCGTAGGGTAAGACGGAGGCCTGAGCACACCTGTTGATTTTCCGGTCCCTCCTGAGACGTCACTGAAATAGACGTGTAGAAGCACAGAAAGGATAGATTGATGAAGCAAAGAAAACCAGAGACTCGCTAGTACTTGTTAAGTTTTCAACAAATGACTGGGAGAAGGAAAGATGGGAGGGAGACGACTGATGGAACAAGCTGTGCGGAGGCTATGAGGAGGTGAGAGGAAACTGACCAGCCTGTCTGAGCCTGAAAGAGCCCCTGGACTGAGAATCTGCCAAGTATGAAGCCGGGCAGGAAAAGAGACAGAGCTGAAACAGGAGGCTTAATCAGAGGTCTGTCCGTGAAACCAGAGCAGTCGGCTCCCTGCTGCACTTCTCATCCCCAGGCCAGAAACCAGAGCCTCATCTCAGAAGGAAGGCAGTGAACCATGTGGGAAGGAGCAAGGTTTCTGTTGTGCGTCTTGGCACTCTGCAAGTAAGTCTGCACTATCCTGGCCTTTGAGGGACTGCAGCCTCTCAGCTGGCTTCCTGCACGCTCACTGTGGCTCTGGAGTGAGGCTTGCCTGTGTCCAAACACGCTGATGTATCCAGCGCTCGAGTTAATGCCGCCAAGGAGGCAAGAAGACAGATGAAATCTGTTCCCATTATTATGTTTGTCTATTGTCCCTGAAGCCCTCATACTATTACAAGTGCTTACATTTCTATGTCCTTATCATCATTTTCATTGTTCATTGAATATTTGTCTGCAGTGTGACAGATTTTTCACAAATGGAAGCAGATTTTATTTTCAAGAGTATCTCACTTTTGGTAACTCAGAAAGCTACCAAAAACTGCTTTTTTCTCCCAAGATGTTTTAATTTTGCTAATATATTAGTGGGGTATGATTTAGGAACAGTTAGTCTTTATATTTAATAATCTTAGCTTAAATTTAATGATAGCATAGGCTAACATTGATATTTAATAATGTGCACATATTATTCAGATTTATTTGGCCTCTTGGGTTATATCATTTTTTTTGCCTATAAGAGATATAGAATGCTTTATTAAAGCAATGAGAAATGTTGTTCTCCTTAAGTGGAAGAGAAGAACATATTTCTTGTCTTTAAAACATTTAGTAATGTGAATTGGGTTGTAGTGTTCAGAAAACTGCAGTTAGACTCAATCTTAATTTTTCTCATTTTCTTAAATTTTCATGGATATGCATACGGACTTATTTTTGTATTCATTTTCAACTAAATAAATTAGTCTAACTATGCATGACTGAAATTACCTTCTATAAAAATTTCCAAAAGCATTTGAGAAATAGCCCAAGGGTGGTTAAGTCTATCATATTTTACTTAAATTTTACATTTTATTTAAATGTGCCTAGCTTCTGGATGGATATATGATCAGAAGAAAGAATCTCAAACTTAATGAAAGTTAATTATACTATTGTAAAAGTCCAAAATGAGCTTGTATCACTGAATGAGACTGACCTTGGAGACTAGTGGAGACTTCAAGTGGTAGTTTCCAACTTCCATTCATTTTGGAGTTATTAAGTGTATGAAAAATATATTATAGCTGTTCCTGAAGGTCAATAAACATGGACATGGTCATGCTGAAGTATATTTTGGATATTGATTTTAATCTGTAATAGACTTTTGTATTCTGTACTTTGGGTGCTAGAGTAATTACCATCCCCATGCATTCTCACGACAGTTGAGATCTGAAAAGTCTTAATTAACGGTCCTTAGTTTTATGTTTCAAGAAGTTGGAAGATAGGCATTTCCCCCCCTGTCTTATTTTGACTTTAGAAACAAGATACAAACAAGTTCTTTAGATCTTGTAAAGACCCTTAATAGGTACTTGAAAATATGTCTTATTACTGTCTACTGAGTAGAAAGATCTTTTTTCTCCTATTTAATATTTTAAATTCCTGTATTAACCCATTTCCAGATGCCTTGTGCTGTAGAAATATTTATTTATTTTCATCTGAAATTTACAAAAGGAAAATGCACAAGAGGGCATATTTTAACAAAACAAGGAAGACAAAACAGCTTTTGACACTTGGCCTGACTTTAATGAGTACATTGCAAGTTGAAGGCTTGTTTAGATCTTTAAAATTAACTTTCATGAGCATTCTTAGCAGTGGGCCCTCAGCCTGAAATCATGGTGCCAGTTTCGGTCTTCAGGTTCTTTTTTGTAAATACCAGTTCTTTTCAAAATTAGGTAAATTTCTTAGGAAGAAAAATAAGACATAAAATTTATTTACTGAACAAAATGAAAACTATTGTAGATTCAGGTCAATTCTAATTGGAACATTTTACAAGATAGTTTGAATATTCTCAAATATGGACTGTTTTAACATAATGTAACTCAAGCTTTTGTGGTCATATGAACTTTGGGGGAAGTAATTTTCCAAGAATTAGTACTGAAACTTTCTGAGTTAGAAATTCATAAATCTGATTTCATTATATGGTCCCATTGCATATAGGACATTCAAAGCCATATATAATTATTTTTGTCTAATTAGTTTTAAAGAGGGCTTAGAACCTTTTGGAACAGTACAATGCTGACGTTTACTCACCAGTAAGGACTTATTGATGTATAAGTGTGGGTATATGTGAAGAAAAGCAAATTATATTAAATCTAAAGGCATAGAAATTAGATCCTTTTTTCTATTGTCAGGCATCTCTTTGTGTAAATGAATAAAAGGCATATTTTGAGAACATCCAAAAGCTTTTCTCTTACTCTGTGTTCTTATTCTTTTCTAAAAATGTCTGGAGTTTTAATATATATGCTTATATTCCTCCCTGACAGTCATTCTAAAATACTTTTGTACTTTAATTTCAGATTGTTATTTCTTTTTAACATTATGTATCAATAATGATTTAAATTTAGTTTTACAAAATTTAATTTAGTAAATTTAGTTTTACTGCTTATGGACATTACAGTTTCTTGTATTTTTACATGTTCCTCATTTTTTGTCTGGTTTTCTTAGAATTGATTATTTAATAATTCTTTTTTTAAATTAAAAAACTATTTATTTGGGCTGTGCTGAGTGGATAAATATTTGCAGTGCTCTGGCTCTCTCTGATTGTAGGCAGTGGGGCTACTCTTCACTGTGGTATGCGGATTTCTCACTGTGGTGACTTCTCTTGTGGCGCGCCGGCTCTAGGGCGCGTGGGCTTCAGCAGTTGCAGCTCATAGGCTCTAGAGCGTGGGCTCAGCAGTTGTGGTGTATAGCTTAGTTGCCCCACAGCATGTGGAATCTTCTCAGAGCAGGGATCGAGTCTACCTCTCAGCCACTGGCCCACCCAGGGATTCCAATAATTCATTTAGATTGTACCTGAAGGTTTTGAGCTAGTCTGAGCCTTAGAAAGAGAGTGAAGTCGCTCAATCATGTCCAACTCTTTGCGACCCTATGAACTCTGTCACAGGAGAGTTCCTATGAGGACAGGCTCCTCTGTCCATGGGATTTTTTCCAGGCAAGAATACTGGAATTGGTTGCCATTCCCTTCTCCAGGGGATCTTCCCAACCCAGGGATCGAACCCAGATCTCCTGGATTGCAGGCAGACTCTTCACTGGCTGAGCCAGGGGGGTCTGAGTCTTTGCATGACTGAAAATGTGTATTTAATCTCTCGCTTGATTTCTAATGGGCTTGACCGAATTCTACATATAAATAATTTCACCTGAGAATTGAAGACTCCTTTATTGACTTCTGACTTCTCTGGTGGCTCAGACGGTAACGCATCTGCCTACATTGTGTGACCCAGGTTCAATCCCCCGGTCAGGAAGGTCCTCTGGAAAAGGCAATGGCACCCCACTCCAGTACTCTTGCCTGGAAGATCCCATGGACGGAGGAGCCTGGTAGGTTACAGTCCACGGGGTTGCAAAGAGTTGGACACGACTGAGCGACTTCACTTTTCACTTTCACTTTTTATTGACTTCTGTTACCTGATTTTGTTAGAAATAATTCTGATAGCAATATGATTTTTATACTTTTGTAAATAGCCGTTTTCTCCTTCCTTCTGCCTATTCCCCCCACTGAAGATTTTAACATTTACATCCATAGCATCCTGATAGTACACTTAGGATGTGATTAAGTGTAGTTAATAATTTTAATTATTAGTGTTCTTCAGATGCCTCTGCCCCTGAATCTATCTTTAGGTAAGAAGGAACTTTTCTTCCTTTATTTCTCTTGAATACTTTTTCATCTAGTTCTTTCTGTTTTGTCATTCTGGTAGGTAATTTTACTGGAGTTTCTAAACCTACTGGAGCATCTAACTCTACCTTTCAGTTCTCTTTCTTTATATGTTTTCTTCCTTTTACATTGGTTATGGAGGCTCTCTTGTCCTTCTTGTCTAATGCAGTATTTTTTCCTTTAGCTGAACGCTTTAAACTATCAGTCTGTTTTTTTTAGGCTTTGTTTTATCATTAGTTTATCAGGCACATTTTAAATTATGTATAACTCTTTTTCAAAATAGCCTGTTATTTTGTTGTTGTTGATGTACTGTCTTTTCATTTCACTGAGAATGCCAACTGTATTTAAAGTTTTCTTCTGTTTCTTCTACTCCGCCTGAATGATACTTTCTCATTTTAAATTCAATGGCTTTGTTGCCAATTTTTCTTCAAATGGTTAGTGATTCTTGGTTATTAGTATGTATGGTTGAAAGCATAGATGGAGTTGTTTTCATGCCTGGAGCGTATTTATACTCTTCAGCCAGATGAGACTCCATCCCTCTGGGGGATAATAAGGTTCTTATTACAGAAGCCTTCATCCAGTGACTGCAGGGCGAAAGGAGGAAGCACTGCTGAGCAGGGTGTTCCTGTTGCAGGATTTTGACCTCTGGGTTTGGGAGTGTTTTCCCATAAATTGCTTGCCTTTATTTGCTTTGTTTCTCTCATCCCACCATCTACTCTGGGACTCTGCATAGACAGAAATCACATTTGAGAAAAGACACACACGCTTTTGTTGGCCATAAGCTTTATGCTTCTCTGGGCCAAACAATCATTTTTGCTTGTTTTAGATTTAGTTTTGCTGATTTGATTTTTTTTTTCTTTTAATCAAATCTCTGATTTTTAGTTTATAGAATTTCCTCAGATTTTCTGGTTTACAGTGGTATTCTTTCTTATTTTACTGCACTATCAATGTTTCTTCCTTTAAAAAATATTTTTTGTGTGTGTGCAATTTGAAGGAAAGGGGAAGAGGTGAATGTGTCCTTATTTTTTGTTAAGAGTACAGATTTTAAAATGAAGACAGACTGAAAAAATAAAACTATTTAATGGAGACTAATCAACATTTTAAAAGAAGGAAAATGTACTGAATGTTTATAGTACTTAATGAGTTTATAAAAGCCATTTATTTATCATTAACCTTCTTCATGAGTTCATTTTTTACCCCCAGAAAACAAATCAAAGCTTACTGACTTTGGAGTAATTTCTTGGGCAATGTTTATTGTTAATCAGCCTATTTAAGAGGAACTTGCATTAAGTGGTATTTTTATTATGGTAACAAATGGATCATTTTGATATATTCAGTATTGACCCATTTTATTAAGTAGGCATGTTATTTTCAAAAGTCGTGTGGCTTGTCAGCATTTTTATTGATGAATTTTAACTTAGCAATATTAAAAGAAGTAAACCTTAGGAACTTTAATGGGGATTATAAAAGAACTTTACTGTTTTGTCCTAGAAAAGATTCAGTAGAAAACAAAAATCAGGTATTATGTGAATAGTCATACAAAGTAATAACCATCTGTACAAGTAAATTAACTACCTGTTAATATGGAAAGATTGATTTTTATAACCTCATTTTAACTAATTACATTTTTAGAAAATGAATGTAATTTTAAATTAGGGCTTGAATATTATATTTTTCATAATTGTTTTTGAAACAAAGTTTGCTATTAAGTGTTTAGAAGAGAATAAACATAATTTATTTATGTAGTTGTGTTTTAGTTATTGTATATGTACTATATGTTTTTTCATTAAATTCTTCAAAAATAGGAAGACATGGAGTAGTGTTCTCTTTTAAAAGTTAGAAATTATTAACACATCATTAAGATTGCTTTTGTATATGAATTTCATGATTTCATTTTTGTCTTTTAGCAAAACCAGTTCCTACTTTAGAGGCCTCAGTAACTTGTAGAAATTTGTTGCTTTTCTTTTAAAAGTGCACCTGCATCCAAAACTGATTAAAGACATACTTAAAAAGAAAACTGCCATAATGAATAACATTTCTCAGTACTACCTAATTTGTCAATATGACTGGTTTTGATTAAAAAGAAGTTGATTACAATGTTCAAAACTGTTTATTGAACAGAAAAGCTGGATACAATCAGAAATAAGAGGTTTGCCTATGGAGATACTGAATCTGAAAATCTTGATGTGACAATTGGCATTTCCTTTTAAGGTTTTTACTAATCTTTCTAGGGTAATACCAAGTATCAATGTTTGTTCTACAAGTTTTGGGAGGATATTCTTGTTGGGGTAGGGGGATGGTGATGCTTTTATTTAACATGTCATTTTAGTAAGATTAGAGTGATGTTCAGTGTATTCTTATCATATCTTAGTAAAACTCTTTTATCAAATTGATCAGTATAGCCTATAGCTGAGTATTTCA